TTGGTAGCGCCTCGTCCTGGTTCACAAGTTTTTTTCCTTCAAGAAATATCAAGTATTCACGGTTTTCAATCCATTTACTGAGTTAGGACCTTCCAGTGTCGTTTCATTTTGAGCCGCTGTATCAATTTCAATTTTATTTCACACTTTTGTGGTTTTATCATTACATATACCATCAATTCCTTAACCTCATTCAATTGCAATTTCAAGAATTACATTATCACACAAGTTATTGTCATTTATTCTACAATTTACAATCAACTATCCACAATATCCATCATTTGGTTCAATTTGCAACCAATTATTTATCATCATTACTTATTTATTATCAGGTTCAATTTATTCACCAATCGCCAGTGATTAACCGCGCGTTAACACTTTATCGTCAATTCCATATAGAGATATCATAGCAATTACATTTTATTAGTGATTCAACCCAGCGTTATCACATTTACACTTTATTGATTCAACTTTACGTTATCACATTTATTTTAAAACAAATCAATTATTGATCTTTATCAAAGAAACCCTGCAGGTTCAATATTTAACATTACATTCAACATTTAACATTCAACATTCAACATTTAACATTTTACATTCAGCAATCTAGTCTCACATTGTCATATTGAGATAGATACATCAAGTCCAATTTTTTTCCTTTAACAGGATCACATACACTTTAAACATTCAATTTACACAATTCAATTTACACATTAACACCATTGTTATTTTATTAAGCAATTTTTTTCCAATTCAATAGGATCATCATTTCCACAATGGACTACAATTCATTACTTTTACAACATTTAAACCAAGATAAGTTTCTTATTCCATCAAATCTAAAATTTGGCATCATGGAATGTGCTAAATTTAACCCAAGTTACATATCTAAATGGCTTAATCAATTAGAAGAATTATCCTTTGATAGAGATATAACAACTCTTTTAGATTACAAGAAATTACTTATTGCTGCAACCAGCGGTCCAGCAAGAGACTTCACCAAACAATATTTTACAACTTTCACAGTTCCATTTTCATTCTTAAATTTCAAACAAGAATTTTTAACTCATTTCGGTGGTATAGATTACATCGAAAATTTTTATTCCCTATGGTACAATTTACAACAAACATCAGATATTGACCAATTCAACACCTTCTTTTACAACCTATATGTACAAGCACCAGTTCCCTTACAAGAAACAGAAGTCAAAGCAAGATATTTACACGCTTTAAAGCCAGATCTCAAATACAAAGTTCAAGCATTATGTCCTGAAAATACACTTTCAGCAATGAAACTTGCTCAATTACAACAAGAACTGATAAACAATGATTTACTTCACAATCATATCGATGAAAACAACAGCTTCTCATCACAAACTTCTCATGATTCCAACTCCATTCATGGATCCAACTCCATTCCAAATAATGAATCAAATCAATCCTTCGTCGGTGATTACCATGAACAACAATCAAATCCTGAACTGCTTCATATCGGGTACATTTCAAAACTTAAAAAGTAATTGACCATTTTCATTACTAATTTTTCAATTTAATTACATGTGTCAAAGAGACTTGACATACTTTAAAAGGGGAGAGAGCAAATAAAGCTATTCATTCCATCATTTATTTTTATTACATTCTATTATTATAGGATTATTGATCAATCCATTCAATTTGCATTCAACTATTTAAATTCAGATACAATATTCCAAACCTTCAACATTTTAACATATATCATTTCATTTTAATTATTACAAATATTACAAATTTCAGATTCAGATTAAACTTCATATTTCAGAACTTTAAGTTCATATTCATATCTTCAAAGATCCATGTTAATTACTACCAAGATCTCTTATATTAATTTAATATCATACCAAGTTTTTACAACTTCCATTTACAATAATTCAAATTTCAATTCATTTGACTCATTCACATCATTAGTCAATTGTCAAAGAGACTTGACAAATCTAGAAGAGGAGAATGTTG